GAGCTGCTGAAGTTACAGTAAAACACGACTTGGTGGCGCTCAAGCACAAAACGGTCTTGCCGAGCACACATTGATAGCTAACGACAAAGAGGAAGTAAGTAGACCAAGAAGATGCATCGAGGCAAGATGAATGTAGAGCTGCTGGTCTCATTGGTGTCTGAACACAAAGGGCTTTATGACAAACGCGACAGCGACTACAAAAATCTCGATAAGAGGGAGTTGTTATGGAGATGAACTGCAGATCAAATAGGATTCGATGTGTACCGGGGTATTTCTGTTTTTCATTAAGCGCCATCTAATGTCAGGGAGTGAATTTACATGTTCACTCGGCTCATCGCCTGCGAAAATCGCTTGGGTATGAACACAAAAGACGCGTCGAAAAACGTCGGCGATAAGCGCACGCGATAATCGTCCCGGTGTGTACGAGGCTTTACAGTACTGTTTTCTCAAACAGCAGGCATCTGCCTCTGAAAGCATGGTAACATGACTGCATTTACAGTGTTTTGCATAGGCTTCTCCTACTACAGCAAATAACTTTTCCAGTTTATCAGGAAGTTGTGATTTTGTTCTCTTCGTCTTGCTGGATGGAAACGGTAATGTATTCGCAAATGTTTTATGGGATATTCCAATTTTGTGCATAAGTTAAATTCACTGGATTCGATGGAATTATTCATTTATTCACCCTCATGTCATTCAAAACCTGTATGACTCCTGCTGAACACAAAAGAAGATTCCAATACTAAAATCTTCTAAAAACTTTCCGATACAGAGTAATTTAATGCCAGTTCACATTAATCAAATAAAGGTTACCAGAAAAATAGCAAATAGCATTAACTAACTAACAATGATCAAGTAATTTGTTACAGTATTCATTTATTTTTAACATTAGTTAATAAACTAACAATGTACAGTTGTTTTTTATGTTAGCTCAGGTCAATTAACCCTTGTGTGGTGTTCATATTTTTGTTACTCAGCCAGTGTTCGTAGGTCTGGTGGACCTGCTACAGTTTTGGGTTTTTAATTCAACACAATCAAAACTAATATGTTAAAACACTCCACCGATGTTTACTTCATCCCAATTACAAGCAATATAAACAGCATATATGGTAAAAATTTGCCCTTTACCTTTGTTAGATCACATTCATGAATTAAAGTGCTTCAACATTGTGCGGGAACGGCAGGGGTGGAAACACAAAACTCACACTTACACTCTTACAGACTCTCTCTCTCACACACACACACACACACAGACATAAACACACATACACATACTAATAGCAGATCCAGACAATAGGAGGACAGAGTGAAGGTACACAGTACCTAAAATGTCCACTCTTTTATTAGGGGGGGGGGATGTACAGTGAGTGGTCATTGAAAATGTGTTCTGATATATGTTCTTCACAGAAAATGAGCCAAGGCCAATGAGTCAGAGTTTGAAAAAATAATCAATAGTCCCGAAATAGTCCACAGACCAGAACACCATTCAAGGGTTAAATAATGTTAACAGATAACATTTTTGACTTTTAGTATTGTATTTAGTAAATGTTTAAATCAATAAGACAACAGTAAGTATTTTTCATTGTCAGCTAATGATTTTATCAAGTGGATCTGTGTTGTAAAGTGTTGCCAAAATGTTACATTACGAAATTAAAACAGGTTGCAAATGTTGTTTGATGCTGCCTTTCAAACTCATTAAAAAGCATTGCATGTGGCCCAATCAGAACATTTAGTCAAAGGGCTCATGTATAAATACAAATATCCTAACTGTGTTGTAAAGTGTTGCCAAAATGTTACATTACGAAATTAAAACAGAAACAAAATGAAGTCTTATTTTCTGTGAAATTTGTCAAAATGAAGCGAGTTTATGATTAAACATGATATATGACATATGAGGTCAGAAAAATATATTTAATTTAAACAGAAAACAATTTTCATACCCCACTGTCATATATTTGTTCTTGTTTTAAGCACTTAATTTTACTCATTTTCTAAGAAAACAAGACTTCAAAACGTCATTATACAGAAAACAAGAATTCATTCATTTTACACCTCAAGTAAATCGATCTTGATTTAAGGATGTTTACATGTTTAAACTGGAAAACAAAAGATGAATACTAAGGAAAATATGCAATGTTTTGCAGTGCATGCGTGCAACATTCAGTGCTGCTCTAATTTAACCCTCTACCGCACGCATTATGATAGACCTATAGAAAAAAATATTTGAATCTTTTTCTTTTCTAAGAATGGCTTAACTTGAAGTGCTGTAAAAAAATTTTTGGAAAAAAATATTATTTTAAGGTACTTTATGATATGTTATGATATGTATACAACAGCATACAATAGTGGATCTAACTTAGAATAAGTGTAAGCTTACTTATAATTAATATTTTTCCTCAGAAATGCTGTTTGTGTTGATTCGATTGGTGCTATTATAAGCTTTAACACAGTACTTATAATTGACACCTTATACATACTTTCCAACAACTTGTGCTTTTATTTATTCCATTCTTTTTTGCTGAATAATGATTTATAATTTTTGAATTGCATTACATTTTTCATGAATATTATTTAAACTGCAAATGTATACAGTTAAAACAAATATAATACTGTATATAATGTATCATAAAACACTGACATAA